CAATCAACAAATGCATATCATCGTTGAGTTTGTATATGTCAGCGTAACACTCTTGGCTCCGCTCATGTAGATAAAAATCAACTGCGGTCTTAGCCCAAAGGGTATTATCCAGAATTGTTTCCGGTAGTTGTTTCCTCTCCACTTCATCTGCCTGAATGGTACTGACCGATAACTTATACGAAAGCCAACAGTCATCCATCATGTTCGGCACGTGAGGGGGCTTCTCAATAATTCGATATATTACGCCGTGTGAATCGGGCTCTAGAATGTTGGGAGGGACCTCTTCAACGATGACAGTGGCCTCTTGAACGGTGGGAGGTGACTCTTGAGGGATGATAGGGGCCTCTTAAACGATAGGGGAGGCCTCTTGAACGATGACAGGTGAGTCGAGCTTTTTCTTACGGATTCTTCACACTATTGGGGTGAACGGAGACGTAATGGCACGTGCACACCGTCTGATGTGTGAACTCTGTCTTGCAAGAAAAACCCGATGTAGAGCATCCACCTTAGCGGGCCGCTAAAAATAAATTAATACATAAATCAGTAAATAAACAGACATGATATTAAACAGTGAAAACAAAGACAAATATATTTCAAACTTGCACGGTATTCACCCAAGTCATTATTATATCATTGTTCACAAAATGCATCAGATAACATTCCAGAAGTAAGCACTCATATAAACATTTAAAAGGACAACATATAGGTTTAGTGCAGGTTCAATGACAACATAAAGAGTAGTAGTTTATTCTTGAAACTTAAATTTTCAATAATGTGAAGTTAGTATTTGTCTTTTGGTTGAAGTAATGCAATTCATTCAAGTTTCAATTTGCAGAAGAAGAATAGAATCTGAAACTTAAAATCGCAACGCGAAAATGACTACCGCAACTTGAAAATGACTATCGCAATGCGAATTTAACTATCGCAATGCGAATTTGACTATCGCAACGAGAGAATCGCAATGCGATTTTCATTTCGCATTGTGATTCTTTCGTTGTGATAGTCAAATTCGTATTGCGATAGTCAAATTCGCATTGCGATAGTCATTTTCGCATTGCGATAGTCATTTTCGCGTTGCGATTTTGTTGTTGCGATTTTCATTTCGCATTGCGATTCTCTCGTTGCGATAGTCATTTTCGCATTGCGATAGTAAACTATTCTTCTTCTGCAAATTGAAACTTGAATGGATTGCATTACTTCAACCAAAAGACAACCAAAAATAAATACTAACTTCACAGGGTTAAAGAATAAACAGTTAAACAGTATTGTCAGCAACCGAATGAATTTACTAAGCAATCTAAGTGAAATTACGAGTAAATTTATCATCAAGTTAAATATAAAAAATATTAAACTTACCTCGTTGCGTAGAGTATGAACCTCGTTCTGCAACGATGTTATAATCTCACGTAGAGCTACTACCTCACCACGTAAAGTAGACACCTCAACACGCCATGCACCATTGTCATCGCGTAAAGTATTGACCTCCTCACGCAAGGCATTGACCTCATTACGTAACTCCCCTAACTCATCCCATGGAGGTGGAGGTGGAGAACAGGGAGATAAACGTCGTGGCATCTTTGCCGGTCGCCTATCATGAGGTGATGGTGGAGAAGAGGCTCGATGATGTGACAGAATAGGTGATGACTCTCGTTGTGGAGGTGTATATTCGGGTCGATCAGGTGATGGCTCTGGGTGAGGTGATGGCTCTCGAAGTGGTGGCTGCTCATCATCTGTGCTATCAAAAAAACGCTTACTAGCTTACCACCAGTCAGTGGCAAGCTCAGCTTCCGTGGGTGTCAGTCTCTATAATGGAGTGTTGGCCTCCTAACAATATAAAAGCTCAAACAAAGTTAAACGTGTACTAGTAATAACTTGTTTATAAACATATGGTAGTATTTGTGTTAACTTACATTATTTATTGTAATATACGTTAGTAAATCTTCCCATTGCTGCAAGGACCGTTTCCTCTTCCAGGAAATAGCCCTAGGAATATCATTAGAAGTTTTTAATGCATATGTCTGCATGGCGGGAAAGGCCTCAAATATCCAAATCTACAAACAATATAATAACAAACATTAGTAATTGTTAAAGAATTAATTATAATTTTTGAAACATTATATAAAAATTATTACCTTAAAGGCCCAAATAAAGCCTGACAAAGTGTATTTGGAACCATCGCCACGCAAACTTTTTCGATCATCAAAGGCAGACGACAACTTATTCCATGTAGCTTTCCATAGATACGAACCCCACGGAAACAGGTTCCATGCATTTAGGTCATCTAACAATTTAATTAGATCATTAAGAATAGGTTGTCGGGCCTCTCTGCCTAAAAAATCGACTTGCAAAAGTTTTAGAAGGCATACTCGGACAACATCGACGTCATCCATCCGAGTAAAACCATCTTTCTTATTTAATAATCTCGTCAAGTCTTCCACGTGTAAATTCGGCTTCTCCGTTGACAGCTCAGGAAAAACCCGGGAAAACCATGATAGGCGGGTAATATGTCTAGTGTACCGATCTACATCATCGTGTCCGAAGCGTAGACCGGTGATTAAGCAAAACTCCTCCCGCCCAAAACACGTATACGCCGGTGGAAAATCAAACCATATCTCTTCATCACGACATTGTATAGTCTCTGGTAGATCGCTAGTCATGGTTTGAAGAAACAGATAGGTCAACATAGCATCTCCACCCGGATGTTCATGGCCCGAAGCAAGTGTCCTCAAATATTTTTCTTTGTGCAGGTAAAAGCTTCGACGTAATTGTTTTGGCCAGGCTTACTTTATTTCTTAAGGTCAATTGATCCGAATAAAAGTTCTGCAAAAACAATAAACATGCCAAGTTAGATATACCAAAAACTACACTGTGAAGATATAACAAGAACAATAAACATAAAGAGTAGTAGTTTATTCTTCAAACTTAAATTTGCAACACTGTGCATTTAGTATTTGTCTTTGTTTTTTGGTTGAAGTAATGCAATTCATTCAAGTTTCAATTTGCAGAAGAAGAATAGTTTTTGAAACTTAAAATCGCAACACGAAAATGAAAATCGCAACACGAAAATGACTATCGCAACGCGAAATGAAAATCGCAACACGAAAATGACTATCGTAACGCGAATTTGACTATCGCAACGCGAATTTGACTATCGCAACGCGAAATGAAAATCGCAACGACAGAATCGCATTGCGATAGTCATTCTCGGTTTCAAATACTAAAATTGAAAGAAACTTGAATGGATTGCATTACTTCAACCAAAAGACAAAACAAAGACAAATACTAACTTCACAGGGTTAAAGACTAAACAATTTAGCAGTATTGGCAGCAATCGAATGAATTTAATAAGCAATCTAAGTGAAATGGTTAATCTATTATTGAAAACACCAGTAAACTTATCATCAATTTCATTATGAAAAACCTAATAATAATGCAAAAATTTCAAAATAAAAATAATTAAAAAAACTAATCTTCGGTGGTTGATTTGGTTGATTTTTCATTTCTGACCGTGAATGATTTCGTCGGAGATGGAGACTGATATCGTCGGAGATGGGGACTGATTTCGTCGGAGATGGGGATGGATGTCGCCTTAGAGAGTGAGAGATGTAGATGAGACTGAGTTGTGATTTAGGGTTTTAGGTTATGAGTTACGATTACGGGATATACTGTGGACGGTTCAGTGTTCTGATATATTAATATATTCGTCTTTGGAATTTGAAAAAAAAATACGCGTTGCGATAAGAATGACGCTATGTAAATCGCATTGCGATAGTCAGATTCGCGTTGTGATTTATATATTCGCATTGCGATTTACGTATTCGCATTGCGATTTACGTATTCGCATTGCGATTTTGGAAAATTGCAACGCAAATTTGGAAAATCGCAATGCGATAGTCAGAATCGCGTTGCGAATCTGGAAACTGATTTGCGATACCGGAGATCGCGTTGCGAATTATCGATTGCATTACGATTTAGTTGGTCATTTTGGGAAATCCAAAAAAAATTGGTTAAAATCGTATATTATAGGACATTTTTGGTCACTGAGGTTATTTTCACAAAATAAAATAATTGTTTGATGGGAATAGAATGAGAAGGTTGTAACAAATGAAATAGTTATTTAATAATTTGGCTTATGGACCCTAATGATTGGTCTAGTTGTCAAGGGTATCCATTACTCAACTCACCTATGTAAGTTCAAATAATAGGTGTAAGTAGTACAGTAATTTACTTTAATCAGGGTTTGATTTGTGAAACAAATATAATTTGGACGAAAAATTATTATTTTTCTTAGTAATAATAATATAAAAAATCTGCATTTGTCAATTGCATAAACTATAACTATTTGATTCAATTCGAATTAGAAATGCCAAAGAGACTTCAAATCACACTTTCAATGTTAAAACATAACACATCCAAAAAAAACCGAATCATGTTACACGGGAAGGCTGAATACTCATCCAGCGTCTCCTTTGCATGGTTATTCAACTACATCATGTCATGACGACACAAATCTGTCGATTATTTTCAGTTCAAAAGCTCTGAAACAAAAAAGAAAATAAAAAAAGTGTGCCTGAAATTGGAGCATTACTGAGGTATCAGTATCCTTAAGATGGGGCACCAAGATATGAAGCAAGCCTCAAAATGTCACTGAATAATGAATACTCCACCATCGGTTACTTGGGCACCAGCACCTGGACCCCGGACTATGAGCGGCTGCTTGTGAATGCTATTATGTTATCAGAACCGGAGAGCTGAGCAAATGGGTGATTTTTACTGTATCTTCGGAGTTCCGCAAGTTCCGTTTCGTTAATGGCATCCACTACTCCAACATATCTCAGGACCGACAAAAACAAATAATTGGATTTGATTATAGTGTCCTTCACACCCTTCAAAACCTAATTGTTTCATCTTTTTCCCTTCATTTTGTACATTTAAAGGGTTGCTGCAGTATTATCCTACAGCTAGTAGAAACAGAGGAAAAGATGAAACAAAAAACAAATACTCACTTCCCCTGATTCCTCAACTTCCTGTCTCTCGGTAGCCAAATCTTTGTTAAACCGAGGTAATTGCTTCATAAAATCTTCAGCAGATGAAGTAGCCTGCCAAGGCAAATCTAAGTATAACATGTTCTGGCCACAAATGAGTATCACATTAATCATTTCTTTCTTCGGTATATTATTTCTGAAAGAGGAAAATTAAGTAATTAACCCCGACACTTAGTGGCTTTGGAACCAGACTTTGAACAGGTATATCAGAAAGCTCCACTTTCAAGACAGATTCCCGGACAAAAATTATCACCTACAGAATGAAAATCAATCTATGATCATAATCGGTAAATCTTTAGCAGAGATCATAAATGCATCTCTTCCATCAGTGCCAATTAGAAAGATGCTTTATTGAGCAATTACCTTGCATTTACACATGACAAAATTGACCTAAACCCAAAGACTCACTCAACCACTCCAAATCAACCTAATCTTATTATCACAAAAAACTGACAATCCAAATCCATTCAATCAAGCATAAATTGAATATAATTTCAATTCCCTCTTTCAAATACTAATTTGACAAAAATATATAACACTAATTATTAGATGATTAATAATTTTGATTTTTTTTGTTGCAAAATCTCTTTTTCAACTCTTGTATCACAGCAATCATGCTTGTTATTGTTCACAAATAACAAAAAACTATAGTTTCAATTCGTTGTAGATAATATTATGATTATATCATTTTTGTTTAATCATCGGTATTCAATCTATTGACCAGTTAATTCAGATTGAGTACTGTAAAATCTCATTATTAAAACAACCCTCCCACCAATTCATTCCATTAACAATGTCAAGATTCGAACTCATTAAAGAAAATTGATCAACAATAAGTTCTAACTTCTACCTTTTGGAGTTAGGGTTGGCCAAGTTAGGCCTAACACTAATTCCTGTGAATCTAGCTAATGACTGATAAATTAATTAGCAATTATTAGTGCGATAAATATTAATATTGACATCAATTAATTAATCATAATGAGTTTTTCAATAATATTTCTAATATTTGAGAGTAAGAAATCTGAATTTGGAGTTATTTTTTTCTAATATTCTTTTACTATTCTTATGATTTCTTTTTTAAATGTGTCTTCATGATATCAAAAATAAAAATCGAATGTGACCATAATTATCAACAATTTATACATCAAATAGTTAAAAACTCTCAGTTGATACCTTTCTTTTATTTTAAGTTGTGGGTTCAATACCCATTATGAACAAAATTTCTCAAAATTATTAGAAAAAAAACATATGACCATAATTCACTTTAAACATTATCGGGATGACTCACGGAATCTAATCTAATCATTTCTAACTTAACAATTTAGGCTCATGTCATGTCATGTCATGAAACTAGCATTTAAAGTATCAATGATCAAAATGTTATTTTTTAATTTTGGTGACAATTATGAAACAAAAGTGACTATTTCAGGAGTTTACCCACAAGTATACAGTAGTAACTAGTAACTGTACTAACTTATTTACCATTTAACTCGGGGGTAAGAAAAATAAACTCTTCTAAGTCTTACCTTTCTTTCAACATCTGTTCCAGACAGATCATCCCTAGGATCTGGTTCAGTTAAAATAAAACAAACATGTCAAACAAATAGGTTTGTTTTGCTAATCAAATACCTGAAGTGAATTTATAAACTATTTGCAATTTTTATCTTTATATATTCAGTATTTTGTTTATTGTATAAAATATCTCTTTTTCAAGTGTAAAATATATAATTAAATAAATTGTATAAAATATTCCATTTAAAAATACGTCAATCATTTAAAATATGTCATTTAAGATTTATGTTTAGAGATTTAGGGGATGAAACGACAACAAGGAGTTGATAAGTAAGTGGGAGACTAACGACGATTGGGTGTGCATTGGACGATGACCAACGGCAATAGTCAGACTTTAGAATTATGGATTTTAAGAAATAATATTTTTTTTAAATAAATTTTTCAAAAATTTAGAAATGTATCACCTACCATATGAAATGATTGACAAATATTTTTAATGATTGTCATAGAATTTAACTTAACATAGTAATAGAAAAAATGTTACATTTAATTTAATAAAAAAAACTAGACACTTAAAATAAAAAAATTAAATTTAAATATTTATTTTTAATTAAATTATAACATCATAAATATAATTTTTATCGTCAACTCTAGCTGTCATATAAATTACAATGTTAATTTCATAAAAAATTAATATATTAATTATCATTTCTATTAAAATTATAATAATATATTTTCTCTCTATTTTCTTTAATCAATGTTAGTCTATTTTCTTCTTTATCTTTGTGATCTACGACAATATTATCTTTGTGTTGATCATAAACTGTTAGTATTTATTGTTTCTCTTTTACTTTATTATAGCGTATATATTTTTTTAATAATTTTATTTTTATGACATGTTTTCTTTTGATTTGATGACATATTTTTCTCTTCTTTCATGATACGTTTTTATCGTTTGATCATTGTTTTTATTTATATTTTTTTAGGGTTAAATTTGACATCGTTACGGCCGATTAATATGACGTTTATTTGTTATATTGTTGATCTTCCATGATTTGGAATCTCATATTGGATTTGGGTATACAATTTACGTTCGTGGATAGTATTCTCACGTCGCTCGATTCTAATGTGCGATTTGTTGTGGTCTTTCAATAACTTTATCTTTTTGTGGTCCGTTTGTCGATGCGACCAGATCTGTTCGTATCTACGTTTTGTTCGAGTTTGTTTGATTATGTTTTTTAACCCTTTCCTTGTATGTCTTTGATTGATCTTAAATAATTAGTTTTTTATGTTTAGGAAAATATATTTATTATAAGTTTAGTTTACAGTTGTGGTTATAAATCTTTATTGTAATTTAGATATTTTTTATTTTAATAAAAAAAGTGATTATAATAATTTAATTTAAAATAATAATGGTCTACTCAATAGAAAATCATATTTCACCTAATAAAAATAAAAGTTAAATTTATCATTATAACTATTACAATGTTTATTTTGATAAAATTTAACTCTTACCAACTCAAATTTTCATTTGTCAATCTCTAACTCTGACCCTAACCTAAAATTCGGAATTCGGATCAACAATTAAGACGAATCCCTCCATGATTAAACATAATATAACTTTCAAAAACCAACCACTCTTACGGCGAAAACTAAGAAACAAAAACCGACATATTCTTTATTTACATGTTCTTAGCAGGTGCGAAACTAGGGGTGGGTGGGTGCGTGGGTGGGTGGGTAGGTGCTTGACTCTTATAGTGGTAAAAATATATACAAGTCCCTCTAGAAGTTACCCCTAAGCTAATCTAATCCATTGTTCATTCTCAGGTGGGTTAAATGTTGAATTTGGGTTAAAATATTAATTTAATTAAAACTAATGGTTAGTTCTTCATTTTTTATTCCATTTCTTGATACGTGTACTCTTCAAGTGGACACTTGTCTTATTTTACTCTTAGGGCTGCTTGATTCACGACATATGCGATTATCAGGGGAATAGAATCCTCATTTCCACGTTTAGTTGACCAACGTCCCAGTCTCTGATAATCTTTTATTACTAATAATGGATTTTTTGGGGGTATATTACGAAAATGTGATTACCCCTTACCTTAGGCATTGTTGGATTACCGACATTTTAGAGTAAAATGCCTTAATTTTTTTCTCAAAAATATCCTTATTCTGTCGTTGAATAATAAAAATTTTATGAAGGTTAAATTACAAATTTATCCTTAAACTATTTTAGATTTATAAAAAAAGACAATAATTAGAATTTTATATAAAATTCAAGGGTTAAAATAAAATTTTACCATTCATTAAACCTATTTATCTTTTCAATTTTATAAAAAAATTATATAAATTTTATGAATTTAATTTTTTAAAGAAAATATATAAATTAATTATAATATTAGAGTAGAATTCAACTTATTAAAAAAACAAATATATAATAAGGACAAATTGGTAAAATATATATTTCAATAATTTTTTATTCCTTTAACCAAACACTGTAATCTTACATTCTTTCTAAACCAACCAAACACAAAATACAACATTCTCAGTAATCTTATTATCCGATAATCTTACATTTCGTAAACTAAACTCACACTTAATTTATCTTCTCTCGAAAAATATATTCATTTCAATTCAGAAACAGTTATCTGCTTTCATCCCCACCTGTTTATATGACGTGTCAAAACTCTAATGGTTCATCAATGTAAGAAGTCAACGTTCTTCACTTTGACTAAACAAATTATTATTTCCAAGCATGCCACGTCAACGCTCACAACTTGCATTGTCTTCCTCTGCTCAGTACTCTAAGCACCCTGCCTCATCGGCTTTGGTATTTGCATTTTTATTCCTTTCCCTCAGAAGTCGTACACTTCAGGATCCAAATTCAATTGGGGATTAGGGTTTGTCGGATGCTTTCTGTTTTTGGTGTTTTGATTGCCCAAAAGTAGAAAAAAGGATCAATCAAAATCCCTGTCATGGAAGGAGACCTACTAGACTGGGAGGTGCTCCACAGCTCGGACTCTGAGTCTAATTCTATGTTGGTTAACGCGGCCGAGTCGAGGAATCTTGAGAGCATCGAAGGTGATACTGTAGGGATGATAAGGTCTGATTATTTTTCTCTTAATAATCAGAGTATGTATGCAAAGGAGGGGGATGTGAGCGAAGAAGGCTCTATCGAGTCAGATAATCCGAGTTGGATTGATCCCAAGCCTGTGGCTCAGTATAGGAGGAATAATTCGGGCGAATTTTGGTCCGATTCCGGAAGTGATCGGTCAGATGATCGTAAATTAAGTGATTTGGTTATGAAAAAGGACTTGGAGTTCGCTGAGAACGAGAAAGCCCCAGATTTTCTCCAAGGGGTTGGAAAAGTGGAAGGTAAGACTGATGAATTGTGTACATTAAAGCCTGATGTTAATAAAATTAGTGAATTCGATAGACTGAAGGAGTTAGGTTTTGGTGAGTTTGGCGATATTCAAGATCAAGATAAGGATTTGGACAAGTTCTGGCCTGATTCTGGTGGAGATGTTTTGATTTCGATGAAGTTTGACGATATTGAGAAAGATGCTGGCTTTGATTTTTGTGACTGTATGGAAAAGGGAGCTGAGTTGGAGAATTCAGGTGAGCTCGATAACGGGAATAGCTCAACATTGGAGTCGGAAGTAGGAGTCGGTAATACAATTGCTAACGAAGGTTCTACTATCGATGAAATGAAGTTGTGTGCGAGATCAGCTAATGAGGGAGACAAGAAGAAGGTAACATGGTGGAAAGTTCCTTTCGAGCTCTTGAGATACTGTGTTCTCAGGGTTAGCCCTGCTTGGTCCTTCTCTGTAGCGGCGGCTGTGATGGGTTTTGTTATATTAGGACGCAGATTGTATAAGATGAAGCGGAGGAGCAGTAGCTTGCAGCTAAGGGTTACCATGGATGATAAGGTCAGTTGCTGCTTGCGTTTTTCTGTTATTGTTGTCAATATTATTGATCTTTTTCAGTATTTGGACATTGAATTGTGAATTGTGTCTCAGATTTATTCTGTAATTGGATCACCATAAGTTGTCGGTTGTCCTTGCTGTTTTATGATTTAGATCCATTTGCTCTAGGGTTCACGTTGCAATTGAATTTCATTCTCTTTTACGCATGAATCTTTATGATCTTTTTCGTTTTATGGTTACCATAAGTTGAGATCGTTTGTTTGATTGATTTGTCAGCGTTTTTACCTGCATCCTCACAAATCTCTTACTCTGGAAATATTTGATTATTGGATGCTGTCCTGAGTGAAACTCGTATTTTAATGATTATTAGTTCCTTATCTAAGCCCTGAATTTTTCTCTTATTTTTGCCTGTGACTCCACTTGGCTCATTCTAAATAACTTTAAAGAAATAATGTTACAGCCGTGAGTTTGGGACTGAACCACATGGAATGGATGGAAAAATCAATCAAGCACATCAAAGGGAAAGACTCATTAGAGAGACCAAAATCTCATTTTAGGGTTTTCATAGAAGTTGTGACTTGTTTTATTCGGTCTCTTTAAATTGAGTTGCTTATTAAGGTAATTAAATACAAATCATATCAATCTAAATAAAATTTTACCGAAAATAGCTTCTAAATAGAGTCCTACCAAAAACTTCTTGTGTTCTTTAGGGTTACCTACCAAATAACTTGTACTTAGCGTCCCAACAAATATTCTTTGGGGTGGACAGCTTTGTCTTTTGTATTCATTTCCTCCTCTGTTTTGTTCCCTCTGTCACTAACACAACTTTTAACTAAATGCAGAATGAAAACACGTATATAATAGAAAACCCAAATCAAGATTAGGGAGGGAGGGAGTTCTCTCTGAATGTTTGTGTGGATTCCAGTCTGGAATGCCATCTTTGGTCAACTAATAAATGTTAAGAGCCTTCTTTTTTGCAAGGTTAGGGAGTTTGGCCTTTAAATCTTGGCTTAGCATTTTGTCTAGCCTCTTTCATGTAAACACAAGATAACCCTAACATTTTGAACTTTGGGTCTCTTTGGCAGCCTCTTGCACATATGTTGTCATACAACTTGCCCTAATAGATGGTAGCCCTCAATATACTTCCTAACTCCCAAGTCTCAACAGCATAAAAGCATGGAAGTGAACACTTCCATTCAACTACAACCCAAAAAAATGACAGACCAAACAAAGCCAAATGAAAAATGTGATATGTCCCTACAGAAAATGACTGACCAAACAAAACCATTGCTGCATTCCTTAGGTGTTAAGAGAAAAAGGTAGGAGGTTTTAAATCTTGGTCGTTCCATAGTTTTCTATCCATTTATATTTTTTGGGAGGCACTAACTTTTTATGTTTTATTCTCTTCCATCTGTCTTGTGGACCTGAAGGTGGTTGGAATTTGGATATAATGCAGGATGAAATTGAAGGAATACTTATTTTCAGTTTTAGATCAGTCATCACTCATCACTCATCAGAGATATTTTATTCATCCTTCTTAAAATCTTGTTTATCCTTTTATAATCAAAATCTTAGCCCCAATTATTTTCAAGCATAGAGTTTTTCATGAATTCGGATTCTTGTTCTACTTCTTTGTTTGTATCATTTGTTCCGAATTTTTTGTTTGCTGAATTTGAGATACATTGAACCTAGTGATTCATGTGCTTTTAACGAAAGAACAATGCCATATGTTTTTATGTTGGAATACGCGTGCACACTCACACACATGAGGAGAGATCCGATTATATAAGTGTAAAACTAGAGTTGTTTGACATAAGTTCATAAACATTTTGTCTGATTCATAATTGTTCAATTTTTCATATATATTATCGTGAACTGTGCACGTAGAGTTTTGATTAAATAGAAATGTCTCAACTATTTATCCCTTGTAAAAAACTAAAAAATATTGAAAACAACAACAGTATTCTCAACTGGCATGATAATGATGTTGGATTAATTTGAAACTTAATGTGCACAATGAGTACAATCATATTGGTAAATTAAATGGTTGGTTTGTTAAGATATTTATTGTATAAAAGTTTTGGATGGAGGTAAATTAATTTAAGTTCAACACTAGTACAATTGGCTTGGTTGACTGTTGGTACACATCTAACGTTATGTTCTTTACTTGAGTTGTACTTGCAGAAGGTGTCTCAGTTCATGACTCGTGTAGCTCGCCTCAACGAGGCATTTTCAGTGGTAAGACGTGTCCCAATTATACGACCTTCACTATCTACTCCCACTGGGGTGAATCCATGGCCTGTGATGAGTTTGAGATTAAGGTGATACTGTAAAAATGGAAAAAAGAAAAAAAAATAGAAAGACCAAGGAGTGTGCCTACAAGGTAAGCCATAGTATTATGTTTGCTTTGTTCTGTTGATGTAAGGATGATTATTTTCAGCTATGTATGTTATGGGTTCTGATTTGATCAATATGTAAAACTTCAGACTGTAATTTGTTTCAGTCCCCTTTATGTTGTAAAACCTTGACCAAATTATCATATTATAAAGGTAAATCTTTATATTTGTAGTTCATTAGTTGGGATTAATCGGGTATAGTCGGGATTCTTATTACCCAGTTTTTTGTTGTAACAAAAACTTGTAAACAGAAATTGTCAGAGAATTATCCTTGGAAGTTAAACTTACACACAAATTTATACTTGCCCCGCCAACAAGGAAATGCTGCAGGTATGGATAGCATAGCAAAACTCGATTAAAAAAAAACTGAATTTTTTTGGCTTGATTTAATGTTAAAAATTTGATAAAAAAATAAATAAAGTTTGAGTTATAAAATATGATTCGAATAACTCAAAAATTTTAGTTACTAGTGAATTAGTTTTTAGGTTTGAGTTGAGTTTTTTTAATTCTACATATTATATACATTATAAAAATGATTTAAATTGAAATTAGAAAACTTTGTCTTCTGACCAAAATAGAGCTTATTTTCTGTTCTTAACGTGTCATTTCCATCACATTAGTTCATATCCAATCCTTATCTGCATTGCAAAGATGGTATCCTTTCCTTTCAAAAACATTCGAGAATCATAATCTCTTGTGCGACAATTGGTAAATCTAGTCAATTTTTGTTCTCCAATGTTTATATTAAATTATAGACAATATGACAAAAATTGACTCTATTCGTCTGTTCCAATTTGTTATTCAGGAATGGAGGGAATTTAAAATTTGTCCTTTATGGGAAATCAGGGGTGCCATAATTTTTTTTAACTAACTTTTAAAAAAAGATGAAGTTAACGTCTTTTGTAAAGGGTATCGAAACCTTTTTCCAACTGATATCATGTTTTTCTTCATATTATACATATGATAAAAATTGGAGTGTCAATTGGCACTCCTCAACATATATTGACTTTACCAATAGACAGCATAAACAAATATAATATTTTTATAATTATTAAATAAATTTATTAAATATATAAATGTTAAAAATTAAAATATTATTATATTAATTATTAAACGAAATTAATGACATAATGATTAAATAATGCAAAATGGTTAGTCCAATAACGGAAACGAAATGTCTTGATATCTTATTAGTAACTCAATGATTGTAGGTCTAGATAACCCTTAAAATTCTAATTAAAGATTTGAAGATAAGAAAGCATAAAATAAACAACTGCGCCTACGATTATGCCGATAAAACCGATGGTGGTTTACAAGTCAGTATATACCCTTGCTAATTTCCTATGTTCTATAATTATTTTGAGATAAATATTCTATCTAAATATTGAGTCTCTTGAAAAAAAAAACTATATGTACACAGTAAAGAAGAATCATGTTTAATTATAAGTCAGGTGTTTGATTTCTTTTATGTAATATTTAGATTTCTCTAAATCTTTTAAATTAAAAGATAATATATTTTTAAAGATGTTCAAATTATATATTCTTAAATATTCTAATAATATTATTATTAATTAAATTAAAATTTAATTAATTAAATTAAGTGATTGATTGGTGTGATTGGACCTGTAAATAATGATAATTTATAAAGTGTTCTCTTAGTATGTTGTTTATGATAGTTTTTCCATCACGTGTTATATATATTATAATGTTATTTTTAATTAGCATTATTGTTATATTTAAAGGTTTAATGTTTTCTTAGTATTTTTTATTAACTCCAAAATAGTAATACAGAGAGAAAACATATAGAATTAATTGCATTTTAAACAAAATAAGCCTCGACTGCTCAAGGTTTAACTACTTCATTAGTAGATATAGTTCATAAAAGCATAAATGCAAGCTTAAATATATTTAAGCAACCTTATTACAGCCACAATCCACTACTGATATCGAAAATAACATATATATAACTTTTAATTATTGATTAAACCCTTCACGACGTTCTTAATGAGATTGAAAGCTTCTTCAAAATCATCGCACAACTCACTGAAGTCTGGAATAATGGTGTCGTCAACTGATAACACCATACTTATCTTCTTCGCACAGCTAATGATATGAATCATGAGCGCCTGTAAAATAATCAATCTCATTAACTTTAATTATTCCATTACAGTGTCAATTGAGGGAGTCAAGTATACAATGCCAAAAGACTTGTATCAAATCTTCTGTTGATATTAATCTTAGTTTCTATCATTATAGAAGGTTGAATGTTCAATTGTTGGGATATATATACATATATAGCAATGTTCTCTTTAAAAAAAAGGGTAACTTACCACTGGTTGACCGTACACAGATGCAGCCATGAAGGCAACCTGAATGCCAAAATGGCTGACATGGTCCTGAGGTCCAGCCACATTCGAGAACCACAGAGTTGTTAATGGGAAAGTGGCCAGCTGCCATAAACAATATTATATTCTTTTTATTAAATATTCTTCAATCTAATTATAAAAGATACGTAAATGAACAGTATCTTACTTTGGTAGGATAAAACTTTACAAGAACCTTCGCCATAAACAGTCTGAATTTAGCTTCGAGAGTAGCCTTTTTCCTATCCATTGTTGTTTTGGCATCTTTAATGTAATCCAATAGGTTATCCTTCAATGCAATTTTTAAAGGGAAGTTTACATAACCGATCTTGTTCCCTCACTCCGCTTTTCTATTCTTCTTCACCATTTCTTCCAAGGCCTGTAAATTACTTGCAGTGAGATCCATTAAAAATAAATGAAAAGAAAACTACTAAATAAGTAATTACATAAACCCCTGGAGATGATCTCATGTTGATGAACAGAGTTGCTGTAAGACGAATACTACGGGGAAGGTTGCTTTCCCCTTCTCTTGCTTCTCCATTATCACTCTTACCTTTGCCTGTCACATTTATTAATTATATAGAAAAGAGAACAATTTTGTGTTATTTTGCAACCATATTTCCGGTTGAGATATGTAGACAAGCCAGCCTGAGTTATCGCTAGCATCACGTCGTTCACCGTCTGCAATGGAAACACATTTTAGCTCTCCATGAAGAATTTACAAAGGAAATGTGTTTTTTGTTAATTAACACAAAAGAAGAAAAAAAAGGGAACGGTGGACTAACCGTGTTGGTTGCATTCTTCACCAATTTGACGTCATCCAAACAGAAAGTTCGACGCACAATTCTCCGAGAAGTAAAAGCAACACTACTTGAAGGTGCTTTGAGGGGTGTTTGGGTGTCGTTCAACAAGTACGTTGTTGCCACACACATGCATATATCAACCAAAGTATTCCATGTTAACAACAGAAGAGACCAACATCTCCAAAACCATCCAGTACCGCCGGATCTTGGTTTCTTCATCACCGGGAAACTCGGCAATGCGTGGGAGCAAGAAATTAGCAGGGGCATGAAAGACATTCCATCGCCAAGGGAGTGGTGAGCTAGAAAAACCAGTGAGGATTCAGCGTCAGAGGTTTTTAGGTTTAAAATATGGCAATCCCACATGGGAATAGTCTTGCAAATCTGAGTCTTGCTAAGGTTTGAAATGTAATCTTCGACAAACGTATCGGGGGATGCCATATCATGATCGACCATGGAATTTATGAAGGTTTAGAATTAGGGTAGTGAAGTAATGTTGCATTAGTTATAGGTTTTAACTCATTTGATTTTATTCCTTCTCGTAGCTTGCTATTGTTGAATTATGTGTATCATTCTCTGTATGTTTCCTCCTTCTAAATTTACCCGAGGCTTACGTTTCTGTCTAAATGCTGAGATTTTTACGCAGGAATTTATTTGCAGAGATTACTTCTAATACAAACGCGCATATGAAGACTGCATATGAAGACTGTTCAACTATGTATTTATTTATTTATGCATGCATGCATGTAATTTATCTTTATTTTTCTGATTGCCGGAGGCCTTCAGCGGAAGCTACTCTCAACCTGGCGTTGGGGGCAGACTATTACCCTACCTCCCCCTTACCTCATTGCATATGGGAATAGGGTTTTGTTGTTGTTGTTGTTGTCATTTCTCCACCATCCGATACCTATTGGATTCATTTTTTTAAAATTAATGCACAAATTCATGTGAAATAAATAGGTTGAAGTTGTAATCAGTTACCTGCGCACTAGAGAAGCGAGGATGCTTAAAAAGAGTCTCCAAAAAGTTGGCTTTGAAACTATGTAGGTTGATGGGGCTCTTAAGCCCCATGTCGGAACCGTCCTTCGGGTGAGCCTCGAAATCGAGCTTCGACTTGAAATAATGGGTTAGAATCGCCACCGACCACTTTAAAACGAATTTAGGTGGGTCGGACACCATCTTACCTGATCTGCGTTGTACCAGAAACGTGTCGAGTTCTGGAGTCGATTACGGTTAAGGAAGGATTAGCACCCTTGAACCGCCCTCTCGGTACTAATTAATTTATCGGTTGTCTTTAATTGCGAAAATTAAAAAATTAAATTAGAATTTAAAAATTCGATTCAAATTACTTACATTTGATTGGTTGAAATTCCTGCTTAAAAAAAAATGTTAAATGATAAAATAAAAGGAATATCGAAAAAAGTAATCAAATAAAAAGAATCAAGGGAGAAAAAAAATAAAATGTTAAAGGAAGATGAAACAGAAGAAGAAAAATGTTAAATTTTAAGAAAGGAAAAAAATAAGATAAATAAAATTAAAAAATGATAGATTTTAAAGGGAAGAAACATTTAGGAAATAATTGTAATTTTATATTAAAAAAAGAAAAAGAAAGTCAAAAAGACTAAAATGAAAATGTTGAAAAGTTGAAATAAAAATTGAAAAAGTTGAAAAGATGGTTGAAAAAAACGTGTAGAATATATATATATATATATATATAAATGATAATAAAATACATATAATACTCATAACAATAAAAACAAAAGAGTAATGAAAACAATATAATAAAAAATAGCATAATATAATAGTAATAAAAAAACAAAAAAATATAGAAAATAAATAAAAAATAATTATATATATATATATATATATATATATATATAAGGGTTGATTTAAAAGCAAAATTAAATTTGGGGCCAAAATAAAACATGCATAAAATTAAAAATCAGAATTAAAAATAATGAAAATACATTTCCATGACCTAAATGCAATATTATCAATACTATGTAAATATCCC